ATAAAACGTAAAAGTAATAGGGTAAGCGCTCCGGTGATGAGATAAGGATAAGGATAGATATATAGATAAGGAAATTTTTGTCTTTTTGAGTTTATGCCGCCGTAATTATTATAGTGATAAACTTCACCGTTGGAATTTTAGAATCTCTAGGGTCTTCTTTTTCTATTTAACACTTTAAAATTGAAAAAATATTCAGTTATGCCGGTATAATATCCATTTTTAAAACAACACCTTTTTTGGAAGATTCGAAATTTTTATTTAACTATAAAGATAAAATAACATAAATGTTCAACTTGCTCATAGCAAAACTGTTAGTAGGAAAGTATGAAGCATACTGATCTCAAGAGCACTATGGAAACAATGATAGGCATTTTAAATTTTATTTTGGTAACTTTGTTCATATAGTTGTCAATAGAGGGCATTGTTCTTCAATATAGAAAAAAACTGGAACCTTAAATCAACAAGAAGCTTATCATTTACATTTAAAGTCCAACTTGTCCATTAATAGACCCCCTTTCCATGTTGCGTTCATCCTAATTTAGATGTAGCGAAACGTACAAGAAATAAGTATGAATTATATACAATCAGGTGTGCTTACGGTATAATCTTGCTGACGGGACCGAAACCGTGTATTTATTGAAAAATAATCGAATAAAAAAAATTACCATTATTCCTGGGCTAAATCGACGAAAGAATGTTGGAGGATGCGGTGGCTTATAACTGTTCCGCGGTTTTCTACGATGGTTGAATGCCTCAGAAGAATGCAATAAATCACCGACCGAATATAAACCTAGTTTGTTTTTACCTAAACAAATGTCCCTCGGCTAGTAATTCATTTTAAACATTCCACAAAAGAAAAAATATCACTGATACTTAAGATGGAAAAATTATTTTACTGGCTTAAAAGGTAACAAAACTGACAGAAAATAAATTTTAAGAAACAACAACATTATTTTGTGATATTTATGAGCTTTCTCTACTAAACTAGGTTTGAAGAGGCAACCATTGACCCAACATTTTGTTTTTTCTTTTATCATGAAAAATTTTTTCTACAAACTTTCATTATTTTGATATTCACCACTCACCATTTATTAAATTAAATATTACACCCGAAATTTTCCTCAAATTTATAAAAGATGTTTTTTGTTAAATCTTAAGTGTTTTTAATAGTTCTTCGGAAACCTTGATATAAACATTCTAAATCTAGAAAGCTACTATAAGCATGAATATTAATATACTCATATCGGTTTTAAGTCTCTAATAGTAGACACTGAGAATTAGAGATGCAGGGCAAAACAAGAAACAATGGCATTGCACTACAGAAAAAAATGTAAAATAGGCATTTTTTCTGTTTATTATGTATAGTAAACCCATCAAAACTAACAAAACTTCTATGAAAAATCGGTTTTCATTTTATCAAATATCCTCATAATAAATTGCAACAGATACTAAATCTCCATAATTTTTCTCAAAACTTTTTTTGGTCCTCACATCTCTCAATTGCCAATTTCTATAAAGTAAAGCCTTAGTAATAATCCGTAAAAGTAAGAAAAGTAATCTCTAAAATTAATATAAATATTTCCTTAGATCATGAAGATTTAAAGGTCCAACAACGTTGAATTTGGCCTGAAATGTTTTCATAATTCAAGAAAAGGCATAATCAACTTAAAAAATTCATATAAAAAGGTAAAAAATGGAAAAAAATTTAAAATAAGTTTTCTCAAAATGTCACCAAAAGACTAAATAAAATAGGTAAATATTACTTTTTAATTACCTTAGTTTTCATGCCATGGATTTTTTTTTAGAAATATCTTTAATTAACCGAAATCTAATCCTTAGGTTATGTCAGTAAGTGTTGTGTACATTAAGGAACGATACGTCATTAAAAACAGTTCTTTTTAACACTTTCTTTGGAATCAAGAACTCTTAAACGATTAAATAATTGTCAGATCTTAAAAAAAAAATCTTAAAGGATGTACTTTTAATATCAGTGGTAGGACATGAAAATTTCTATAAAATTAAAAAGATATTATTACTGAATATAATTGATTACAGGGAAATAAGTTCATTTAAAGCAGAAGTAACCGAACGTAGGAAGTAACAGGTTGTTACGAAAGAATTCAGGTGAAGGCCAGCCCGCGGGGGTCGGGGGCAAGGTTATGTGTGGTCTTCGGGATACACGTTCCCGTTACTTCCAGTTATTAATCTTATTTCAATAATATTTAATAATAATAAACAATTTTTAACACAAAATAGACCAGAAAGAACAGTGTTTCACAGGGACATAAGTTAAAAAAAAATTAAACATAAAAATTTTAGTGGACCGTTATACCAGGACCAACTTCAACCTGATGATAGTTTTTGTTACAATTTTTTTTTTTTTAGTTTTTCTGTTATTAATTAATTGATAATATAGCTGTTATAATAATGGAACTAAGAAAATCCTATTTAAAAAATATCACTTTTGTTTTTTAATGAAACTGTAATCGGTAACCATTACATTGGATTGATTCTCTCTATAGACATATAACGCCGTTATAAAACAAGTTCAATGTTTTAAAAATAAACTACTAGAATTATTATTATATGATTAACATAATTTTTAAAATCGATTGTATTGTATATATTGTAAAATTCTTCTGCCCATTAAAAATTTGCTTATAGTATGCTATGATATCGATGCGATTAAACGAGGTAAGATCTTTCTCTAAAATTATATATACATTACATTTTACATCGTTATCCCATTGGATGAGTGATAGGAACTCAGTGCAAGCTTTTTGCAAGTATATTTTTTTTTCTGCAGTTGTTAATTACATTTAACCACGATCAGTAGATGTGTAGGCTAAATAATAAGATGGGGAAAAATAAATAAGTTTTAAACAAAAATTAAATTAACAAACCAGATTATGCATGACAACGAAGCCAAGCCCAAGTTAGTATACTGAGAGATCTTTGGTATTATCTCAATAATGATATTTCTCTATATTTAAGTTACTGATAAATATTAAAAATAATTTATACATATTTAAAAATAAAAAGAATAACTAAAAAGAGAAAAGTATGTTAAATTACTGATAAAAGTATATCACGAAGAAATTCGAAAATTATTAAATGAATGAAATTAATATTATTAAATACTATAGATTTTTTTAAATATATATATATTTACAATCTATTTAAAATTATTTAAAAGAAAAAAATATTAATTAGGTCAAGATTGAAGCAGGCGACTTTAAGTAATCCACAGCACTAGTGCCTAACGGTCCGAAGAGTCTAGCCTGGATATTTAGTTTATGTATTCACTCCATGCTCTGTTTCAATTAGCACTCACAACCCGGTGAACTCATTTTGGGCTGCAAGTCACGAAGGCTTTTATAAAAGTATATTATCTGAGTTCATAACGAAATTTAAGAAACTTGGTTTCCTCTATCCAGGCAAATACTTCCCAATCTATAAGGTCTGAGGTCTTAAATGAAGATGGCTTTGGAATGTTGAGGCATTAGCCTTGTCTCCCATCGTAACGGCCGAATAGCCCATCGATGACCCAATCCAATGTCCGCCATTTAAGCCGAAAGTGCAACTACTTGAGTCAAACTTTACCTAATTTTTTTTCAAATAAATAAGCAGTAATAAAATTAGTTTCTAATTGTTAAAAAAAAATATATATTCTACGAAAAACAGGTCCTAACGATGTAACAGTAAATTTCAATAAAAAAAAAAAAAAAAAAAAAAATCATGCTTTTACTTATTTCAATACCACAACTGAATATGCTTGTAAATTAATTATAGATAGAGGCGTTTTAAACCTTTGGAATCTAATTCTATCTTGTGCTTTCAACGCTATCTCACTAAAACCAGATTTTAATTATAGAAAAGTAATAATTAGTTTTTCGACCTCTATGACAGAGAAAATTCCAATAAATAAGACTTTCTTGTACACGTTTGGCTGAATGGGACCGAAAACTTATTCCTCGATCGAACTGAACCGTCTTTTTGGCCTAACACCCAACATTCCCTCACGATTCTAGTGGACGGATCATAAAGAGTTCTAACAACCCGTAGTTAATTAAAAAGCCATCTGCCTACGACATAGGCAACACAAAACACAATACAGTTGTAAATTTCAATGCATATTTTAAAAACAAATGTTAAATATCTTGTAACAAGATCTCAGATTTGGAAACCCACGAAAATTTTATTGTAAATTGAAACGAGATATTTTTTATATTGTTTTCGTTTTAAAATATATTTTAAGCTCAGTCGGATCTTTACATTTTTTTTATTTATTACTATTTGGATGTTGGATCCTAATCAATGTATCCAACATAAATGTGCGATATTTGTAATTTATAATCCTAATTTTGAAAATACTAAAACGCCATAATAAAACGCAAATAAAATTTACTTTGATTTTTATTAATATTTGACAATATAATATAAATATATAAATAATTTCGCATCACGTACACTAACAATCTTATCATATCTTTGTAACTAAGACAGAATCAAAGTGGTAAATTGCAAGGTCTACACAATCCTGGATCGTTGATTCCCACGGGTTCGCCTAATGTCTGCTGATGGGTTTGCTATTGGTTTTGTGCAACTTGCAGCAGTTATTGCACAAATCGTATTCGATGGAGTACTCCTTGGTTAGGGGTCCAGCCAAACCCGTTCTTCTTACCCTTTGCGCAGGCTCGAGATCCCACAGAAATTTGAGCGATTGCATTTGTAGCCTTACTCGTTTATTTCGCACGTCCTTCAGAAGTAGTTTGTCACTCATTCTCAAGACGTGTGACTTCCAGTTTTAATTACTTCTTAGAGCCTGTCCACCGCGGAACAAATCTACCTTTGAGTGTTGACACCTCTATGCATCCGACACCTCCTCTTTTAGAATAATTTAATCATATTAATAGAAATATCATATATAAGCCATATGATATGTAAGAAAACATATTAAAATATTTCACAAATGTAATAAAATAATATGTACGTTTCAGATGTTGACCAGGGCAGTAGGCACTCTTTGGAGGTTATCTCTCTTTATAGTAATTTGTCAAGCCGCCTCCAGTCTGGGTAAGTGAAAAATCAAATAACACAATTATCAAAAAAAATTATTGTTTTCATAATTTACTATAGATAAGATATTTAATTGTAAAAATACTTGGAAATCAACTGTATCTAATTTCATTATTGGACTCCAATTAGAACTATTGAAATGCTTTAGAGTTCAATCCATTCGTAAATTTCATAGTTGTTAACACGAATTTACTATTAGTTTCATGTCAAAATAATACCACTACTTTGCTCATTAAAGGATAACATTGTTCTAATGATTTAAAAGTTTTTGTGTTGCTAAATATGGCCCATCCAGAAATGGTACTATATGACGCGCAAGACCAGATAGGGTATAATAGTTTCGTTAAAATTTATTGTTGGTTTGCTTTTTGTGGAAATATAAAAGTAATTGTAATACTAAGATGTTCAAATTTAATCTGTGATTATGAAACAAATATGAGTTTTAGTTATTAGACTCATCCTTTGTAATAATCTCTAAAAATGTGTCAGAGAGTAACGTTGAACCACCAATTGGTTAGGGTTGCTAATTTTCCCGATTTATATTTTATATGTTTTGTTTACTTTTTATTTTTATTTTCTGCATATATATATATATATATATAATATAATATAACAATAGTTTCAAATTAATTGAATAACATAAAGTATAATTTGGTATAATTTTTACAATTTGTTTCTGGGCGTATTTTAATCATAAATTTTTATTAACTTTGAAAAATGAAACGTAATTCTTTATCGTGGAATATTTAAAGAAAAACTTTTTTAAAATTATTTCTATGATTCTTCTGTTCGATGAAGACAGGTTTAAATTGCACCAGTTTTTGATTCTTAAGATTTCCAATGAGTTTTAGAAATTGGTTAAAATTCTCGGTACATTCCCAACCGACTTATAAACCAAGTGCAATTTAAAAAATGAAATTATAAACATGAGAATTTTTCTTTCATTTGTACGGAGCTTTATTTGTAAACTTTTCTGACTCCTATAAATAGGTAATGCAGATTGCCATAAAAAGTCCAAAAACTGGTGCAAAGTATCTCTTTTTTTACGGGAGCCCATACGCAATTATCATGCTCATTACAAACCCAAGATTGAGTCCCAGAAATATGTAAGATAATATACAAATTACTATTACTGTTATATATATTACATTTTCCAGCTCAACAGATATTGAAGGAAATTACTTAACGGTTTATTACATGGTGTTATTACATTAACACCGAGATCACATGCGACCGTTAGCTTCTACCCATCATCATTAATTAGAGCTTCCATAACAGGAACTTTTGTTATATTTTCCCATGATTAAGTTAATAAACATAATATCCATGCGGCATAACATACTTCAAACTGCCTCAAGTTATAGGATTATTCCTAAAATACTTTTAGCTTTCGTTCACTTTTGTGACCATCCATCTGTTTACATCAATGGGAATTACAATTAGATGTAAATTATAAAAAAATAATTGGAATGGGAAGATAAAATTCAAGAAAGACCGGCAGGTACGTTTGTATTATTGCGTGTTATGCCTGGTAGCTATTATCAACAATCAATATGGCATCTGTGAATAAAGCAATCAAATTTTACTTGTTTTGTTTTTATTCTTTATTTTGATTAAAATAAACAGTATTTTGAAAAAATAATTGGCACTCCTTCAATCCTATTTATTGATTTAATGGTAAAATTTAAAACTGGAAGTATAATATATTTTTTAATTTTGGAAAAAAAATATTGAAATAATTTGTCTCCCTAAAATTACTTCAATTTAGCTCTACCTCAAGATTAATGAAGAAAGGAAGCAATTTAAGCACGAGTCGAGTGATCGAACAGAGGATCATGCACCATGCACACTACGATCTACAGAGAATGGGATTGAACCTAAGAGAGAAGAGTAACAATGCACTTGGGCACGATGATATACTCTTGGAACTCTTCGCTGGTAGGGAGACCAAGAAAGCTATTTGAAAATTGGAGACAAAGGAGTAACCTTGAGATCTACGCGTTGACTAAGGAGCCAGACATTATGAGAATCATTCGTATAGGGAAGCTTAGATGGGCTAGACAAATGCCATGATATCCGAAAAGGACATTCCAAAATAGATTATGTCAGCTCAGCTTTATGGCCTGAGGAGCATTGGAAGACCGAAACTGCGGTGAAGAGACGTCCTTCTTCCTAATGATGGAAGAAATCTGCTTTATGTGCAGAATTGGATTGCGTCCGCGCAGGATAGGGAGAGACGAAGACTGCTGCAGGAAGCCCTGACTCAGTGTGTCGTCGCGCCGCTGATGATGAAGAATATTTCAAAAACAAACAATAAACAGCAAAACTCATAGCAGTGTGCCTACACAAAACATTTCTCTTTTTTTACTTATTATATATATATTTTATTAAGGATTAGCTTCGTGAGATACATCAAATAAATTAGCAATAAATAATTTTTGTGACTGTTGGAAAAGTGTTATATTATAGCCTAAAAAATACTTCATATTTACTTTGTAAACAGTAAAATACAGAAAATAAAACTAACAATATATTTTATTAAAATATTCTATAGGTCACAGAATTATAAATATATGAAAATCAGCAGGAAATTAAATTATCAAGGAACATCAAAGCTGAATTTTTTTATTTTTTATTTTTTTTTTGTAGTAGAAAAATATTTATAACGAAACATATGAATTATTAAAGTTCGCAATTTTAATAAATGTATAATTAATTTTAGGCTGAAAAAATCACTAATTGAGATTAGTGGCGTCTGCTCAGAATTTTGAAGAGTGGTTTAATTTCCAAAAAATAATATTATAAAATTTCGATGAATGGAAAATGTGTTTTTTGTAACATTGTGTGATGATTTTGATTTTAAAAATACAGGCCAGATCATAAAATCAAAAGCACAACAGAAAGACATGGAATATTTTCTAGTAATTAAAGAGTACAACAATGGACTGTGCCTATTAGAAATTTGTTAGCTTAAACAAATTTTTATAGTATGCTTAAAAATATTAAACCTAAAATAAAACAGTTTTGAAACGGTTTAAAAAGTCGTTTTACAATTAACAATATAATATAATTCATGATTTATTAACGGAAGATAAAACAGACTCAGAACACAGTAATAACTGCTAATTAAATAAGAAAACAAAAGGACCATCTTTAAAAAACAGAATATTTATTTCGCATATGTGGCCTGGACAAAAAAAATCCTGTGTTTGCTACTGATTTATTATTGTAAAAAATAACTTTTGTCATCAGGACATGTTTATAGGATAAACAACAAAACTATATTTTTAAAAAAATAATACGAAAAGTTATTTAAAAAATTCTTGGGGCCTCAATTGGCCTTAACTTCATTTATAATGGTGGATTGATGGTTGGCTGTAGTGAATAATTGAACAGAAAAATGTTTGGGGTGATAAGTAAAAAAATATAAACATAATTATTTATTTTTACTTTTTTTTTTACTGATCACCCCAACCATTCTTCTCTTCAATTAACTTCATTTACTTTTCTGCTTTCATGTCACAACAATCCTACCGATGGTAGAAACGGATTCAAATTAGCGATTGTTGACCATATATCAATAATACAAGATGTTAAGGAGATTTAAATATTCAACAACGATTTGCAACTTACCATGTCCCCTTACTAAGAATGTGACACAAAACAAAATAAGATACATTTAGATAGAGAACACAAACTAAGAAACCGACAGAGTAGATAAAAATCTCACTCAACACCAACCACACTGAAAATGGACGAACCTCGATGCGGCTAATAGGGAATCTAATTTCCATTCAATTTCTTGTCGGAAAAACAAGACTTAGTCTTTCAGATAGTAAGTTTTACACATACAAGTGTAATCTAACTTATTAAAATAAAAAACGTGAAGCTAACCAATAGTCAGATTTTATTAATTGACGGGGAATGTAGAAAAGGGAAAAAAAATATTGTTTGCAATTGCAAACCTTATATTATAAAAAAAAAAAATTGGTGTATTATAAATACAAAATGGTAAACTTAAGAAAGGAAATTGGAAAAGACTTCTCTCCATAAATTGTACTTAAAAAAATAAAAAACATGTTCGTAATTACACTTTATGAAAAAGTAGCTCATATACCAGAGACTAAGGGCAAAAAAAAGTTTTGTAATATAAATAAATGCTTGCACTGTTTGGATAAATACTTTCCTACGTAAACATACGTCGTTGTCTCCAAAAAAGAGGCGCTAAATACGTTAATCATGATGCAAATGTATTTATTTAACAAACGTTTGGCTGCTCAACCAATCTGTTAAGGAATATTTTTTTCCCCACTGACTCGAGATAATAATAGTTCATTATCGACAAAGGAGCTGCGTGACAATATCGAGGGGGCTGAGGGGGCAGGTCATGAATGGGAAGAAAGGCAATTAAATCCAACTCCTTCCTAAGAAATATGAAAGCCGTGGCAGGGCTGATGTGACAACAATTAAACTAGTTTTTTTTTCATAGAGAGGTTAAAAAGGATGGAAAGCAATTCATTTTTTTTTCTTCGATTGTAAGCGGTTAACATATTTGGCAACCTTTTCATTTAGGCATGAGAAATACCGTTATGTTTTCTATACTAGGAACAAAAACCACCATTTCTTCAGGCTGCCATCCTCCTTTTGAAGGCCGTGCCCTTTGGTAATGGGAACAGGGGATGCACCGGAAGGTATGTGATCGGCCAACGTGACTCGGCTGTCCCAAATACTGAGCACTTTCTATCATCACCCACGTCCCACGTACGGTACATTTGCCAGTACATCACAAGGATAGATTGTCGTGCTATCCTAGATCACCCTGACGTTGATACGTTATGCTTCAAGACGTGATCGTGTAGGTAAGTTTAACTTGTTTCTTTGCGGGTTATCGAACGCGAATTTTAAGGGTCGACACGACACTTTTTTTTTTTAAATTGAAAGAAAAACACTTACATTATATCGGTAGTATAGATCCTTTTTTTCGCCCCTCAGGAGTA